TGTGTGTGTGTGTGTGTGTGTGTGTGTGTGTGTGTGTGTGTGTGTGTGTATTGGTCATCTATTTCTTTTTTTAATTTTTTTTCTTTTATTATTATTATTATTATTATTAATTACACTTTATTCATTTTGTATCCCCCCATAAGCCCCTCCCTCCTCCCCTCCTGATCCCACCCTACCTTCCCTTTCTTCATGCATGCTCCTCCCCATGTCCACTGATAGGGGAGGTCCTCCTCTCCTTCCTTCTGATCTTAGTCTATCAGATCACATCAGGAATGGCTGCATTGTCTTCTTCTGTGGCCTGGTAAGGCTGCTCCCCCATCAGGGGGAGGTGATCAACGAGCAGGCCAATCAGTTTATGTCAGAGGCAGTCCCTCTTCCCATCACTATGTAAGCCACTTGGACACTAAACTGCCATGGGCTACATCTGTGCAGGGGTTCTAGGTTATCTCCATAAATAGTCCTTGGTTGGAGTATGAGTCTTTGGGAAGTTCCCTGTGTTCAAATTTTCTTGTTCTGTTGCTCTCCTTGTGGAGTTCCTGTCCTCTCCAGCTCTTGCTATTTCCCACTTCTTACATAAGATTCCATGTACAATGCCCACCAGTTGGCCATCAGGCTCAGCATCTGTTTTGATAGTCTGCAGGGCAGAGGCTTTCAGATGAGACTTTACGTTTTATTTAACCTCACAGATGTAGATATAGACACATTTTTTTTAAGTTTTCAAATTCAAATTTATCATTATACAGCATTTATGATATTTTATTTCTTTTGTTGCATCTGTTTCCGAAGAGAAAGGAAGTGGGAAAGGGATAATCTCCAAAAACAGTTTGTCTTCGTAAGGAAACAGAGCACCAAGCCTTGGCACTGCCATTGTCTGCACCATGGCTTAGTAGCCATGCCTCACTGCATGGTCATTTCAGTTTCATATTCGGTGTTTGAGGCTAGCTGAGTTTGTAACATTGTTTGGTGTGAAGCTGTGAATTTAAAATGCATTTTGCACTCAGGCAGGCAGAAGCAGGCAGATCTCTGTGAGTTTGAGGTCAGCTTAGTCTACAAAATGAGTCCAGGATGGCCAAGGCTGCACAGAGAAACCCTGTCTTGAGAAACAAAACAAAACAAAACAATCAAGATATACATTGGCTTTTGCTAGATGATAGTGTATGAAAAACAGCATCTCAGCAGCTTAGGCTGTATACATGACTTAGTCTTTAAGAGGGCTGTCAATCCTTGCAGAACACCCACACCCACACTGGACACTTCATAACTTGTGAAATTCCAGATTTAGGGAATCTGATGCTCTCTTCTGGACACCATGGGTACCCCACATGTCCATATACCTGCACACATAGATAGGCACCCACACACATATATAGGCTAAATTAAAATACAGTAAAACAAATCTTAAAAACCAATCTCAGGGGCTTGACACATCCAGCATGTTTGTTTGTTTTTGCTTTTTGTTTTTGAGACACGTTCTCTCTATGCATCCTTGCTATCTTGGAACTCCATAAATAGACCAAGATGCCATCAAACTCATAGACATCTGCCTACCTCTGCTCCCTACCCTCCCAGCACTGGGATTGAAGGTGGGCAACACCATACCTAGATCAGCCAGCATTTGATGTCTCTCTTTTATGTTTGACCAAGCTATGACTGTTCTCAGGACCAGGAACAAGAGAGGCAGAGAAAATTAGGAAGTCTTTTTAAGCCATCACTCAGAAGTGGAATAATTTACATCCATTCATGTTCTACTGGCCAAAGAAGTCAGATGGCCAAAACTCACAAAGACGGCATTAAGAAATATATTATTAGTGTGTGTGTGTATCGAGAGAGAGAGAGGGAGAGAGACAGAAACAGACAGACAGACAGACAGACAGACAGACAAAAGCAGAGGCAGGCTATGTGTGTGTATTTATATGTGTGAGGAAAGAAATTTGGGAACAATATACACTAATGTAGTCACATGATATAGTTAGATGGAGAGTGGCAAAATTGAAGTAACTGACCTGGGATACTGAAAATAGTGAGAATGACTGCAGAGGATAGCCAGCTTCATGCTAACTCTGGCTGTGAGAAACCGCTGGCAGAACTTCTGCATAGCTGACCCATGGGCACAGCCAGCCATGCTAAGGAGATGTTTTGCTTGTCATCAAGCTTTAGGAATTTCTTCTTGTAGAATTTGATAGTAGCATACAAGAGCACACTACAGTAAGGAGAAACATGTAGAATGAACATCCTTATATTTTGGAGAAGCAGTCAAACACAGGTGCTGACATGCTCCTTGAAATTTAAGAAAGATGAACTGAGCCCAAGGCCCACCCGAGGGTGCCTGGAACCAGAGCTCAGGGAGAATCAGGCAGCAAATGCAGGTGGACGGACATATCAGGTGTGTAAGGTTACAGTGTATAAGGTTCTGTATCTGTGCTTAGAGTGTGTTGAAAGTTGCCCACCTAGGAGGAATGGTAGGTAATTCTCAAGTAAAGCTGGATGTTGGCTCAGTGAAAGTCAGTTTCTGGTGATAAAGGACATAGAAAAGTCAAGCCCGCCTATGAAACTGCCACCTTTTTGTATGTGTCTTTTCTTTTTCAGGAAGAACTTGAAACGGCCACAAAGTTTCTGTACTATGAAATGGGCTATAAGTCTCGAACAGAACAACTCACAGATCGTACTGAAATTTGTCTGCTGCCTTCAGACATTGATAGGTACTTCTAATAGCTCTTCCTCCTTCTTCTGCTGCTCTTCTTCCATATCCTCCTCCTCCTCTCTCTCCCCTCTTGCATGTAAGACTATTTGCTATTATTCAATTTTGTGTTGCAGGTACAAGAAACGATTTCATAAGTTTGATGCAGATGAAAAAGGCTTCATTACTATTGTTGATGTTCAGCGTGTTCTAGAGGTAATACATATATTTTTCTTCATTATCAGTATTTGGATATAGAAAAATAATATTGATTAGCATCCTTTACAAGTCATATTTTTGAAGTTTTGGACAGTCTAGTCAGATTAGAAGATGGCTATCCATTGTCTTTACTCAAAGCCTCACTTCTCTGTGCTTTTGTGTCCAGAGTATCAACATACAGATGGATGAAAACACACTCCATGAAATTCTCAATGAAGTCGATTTGAACAAAAACGGACAAGTTGAGCTCAATGAATTTCTGCAGGTGAGTTTTGATGAGACAGATGTACTTGTGTTTTTACTTTTGCTTGTCATGAAGCTAAGAATGGTTTCTTAGGTCTATCCATTACTCACTTCATTCTGAAAGCGTAGCCCGAGCCAGCAGCACTTGATCTGTCTGCCCTTGAGGATGAGCTCTGTTGGTACCTGGTCATTTTCTTTCTCTTTGAAAGAGGCATCTGTTTTATTGGCTAATTTAGATTAAATCCGAGTTAATTATGGCTTACAGAATTGCAAAAGTAAGCCATGGAGTGTGATTGCTGGACCACTGCCTATGATGAGAGGCAACATAATATTTCTAGTATGGAGAGTCATTGTTTCTTTTTTTAATGGGAGAAATTATAATCTGTAGTTTTATTCATTGAGTAATCATATTCACTTAAGGATGCAGTTGATTTAATTCTTACATTTTGAAGAACCGGAAAAGCAAATGAGAAGAAACTTAAGTTCTGGGATGAAGACCACAAATTTAAGCATATTCATTTCTGACGTTCAACTAACCAAAGTTTCAATTGTTCAATCATTGTAACCATGAAGGGAATCTATTTTGTTACTGTAACCTCACACTAGATGCTCTGCATTACCCCTTAGTAGTTAATGCAAAGGAAAGAAATTCATTAATTTATCCCTAACTGTCCATAGGGTTCTGATCATTGGAAGGGCTCATTGGCTTCCAGGCAGACAGTTTCTCTTTTTCTGTTTCTTTTTCTGTAGTGTTTCTTGGTCAGGTATTTCAAATGAATGCCAGGTCTTGCTTGCACCATGGCAATGATGAATGCTGAACATGAAATAAATTAATGCTGGGATTTTGGTCAATGTCAGCCCTTTCTTCACTGTGTCAAGTTAAACAAACAAGATCAAGGCAAAGGAAATGGTAATTGTCTCTCTGGAGATGAGCTGCAGATAAGAGCATTGTTGAATCTAAATGCAGAAAAATTTCGAAGGTTGTGTCCAGCATTACAAAAAAGAATGTTTAGCTATTTAACTAACTGTTTAACTAAATGCGAATTTTAAATTGAATTTGAGATTTATGGTTAGGATTTCGAAAACTTTTAATGCCTCCTTGTATATTTTTTTTTTCCAGGAGAACATTTTATTGTCTTAGAATTTTAGAAAACTCTTCTTTAAATAAATAGCTTATGCTTCATTTCCTGTGCTTTGCAAAGAAACAACAGCATTTAGACCTGAAAAACCCAGGGTTTTAGAAACAATAAGAATCTAATTTAGGGAATATGCTGTGTGGCTTGGGTTTTAAGTAATTTTCTTGAATGTAGCAAAGTTAAACACATAGAAAACAATTTAAACCACCTGCAGGTTTTCTTGTAGAGGTTTTAAATAATTGAGTATTTCCTGTTCAGTTCTAAATGAAAGCAACCATTCATGCTTTCAATAAATACACAGCATATTTTCCAAGTTATAAAACACTGGCCCCTTTTCTTGTGAAATCTATTCACACCTAGATAATTATTTTTTTTCTTGCAATATAGTTTTGAGATACACATAATACTTAATGGAAAACTTTTAGTTTGTTGAGGTTGGTACAGGAAACTCTCTCGGTGGCTCAGGCAGAAGCCCAGCTCTGACAGCTCTTACCTCTGAATTCCAAAGCTCTCCCAGAATCAGAGGGAAAACAGTAAACAGAAAATTGTTCTGTCTTTAAATGTCAGCATTCCTTAGGTAAAATATTTCACAGATGTAAAATGTGCTTCCACATTTGATAATTTAATGAAGTCTTTTCATTTTTTGATGATTAAGAGCCCACATTTATCCTGTGAAAGGTCTGATTTGGGGTATGGGTGTCCGTTTTCAGTCATCCTGAGAGGACACTCAGTACAGACGCTGCCTGGATGTATGACGTTGTCTCTGAGTCTGGCCTTAATGACACTTAGGCATGTAGGAGTTGCTCTTTCGTAAGTGGTCACCTGTGGAGCAGCTTTTAATAAGGTCAGGAGATTCAGGTCCGGACCTGATGCCCAGACCAGGTGCCTAGACTCCCAGGTGCAGCACATTTTTTCGAAATGTATCTCTGTGAACTAAAACCCTAACTCTGAAATATTTTAACTATTTCCACATTTTTTTAATATAACTTACTCTATTGAGTACATTCTTTAAAATAGAAGAAATAAGATTTTTAAAAATCCACTAGTTAGTTCCATATTGATGTAAAAGGAGAGGCAATCCTTATACTCAGAATTGCAAGGTGCTGTCTGGATTAAAGGCCTTTGCCCACTTTCTGCTTCTGATTTTGTCCATTGGATAGAAATGAATTAGCTAAAATCTGTAGGTTGGGGACTTTTATTCTTAGGGCAGATCTCTCAGTCCATTTTCAATGACTTGTATATAAATTTGTGTAGAAAGACTTTAAGGAACTTGGATTTAGAGGACTTGAATGGTCAGGTAACACTGAAAAATGATAAAATTTTTTAGTAATTTTAGGAGGTCATGGTTTGCCATTGCTCTATCCCTGAGATTCCTTCTCGGGATTTAAAAATAGAATTAAAGATCCAATATTTGAAGGTAACTTCAAAAACGTGACCCAAATTGCATATGGTGGGCAAAGGTGTCCATTAAATTTGCTTTTAGGATAGCCTGATCTACTGGGCAGACGCCATCATTGTCAGCAGTGTGAAACATGCTGCCCATCACCTCTTTCTAAACTCTTCAAAAAGCTGAGAGTGTGCTCTTGAGCCGACGGAGCACTCCATTTTCCTCCACATGGCACAGGCAATGTGTAGCAGCTAAGAAGAAGAGAGTAGAGTAAGCTGGCCTGGCTGCTGAGTGTCTTCCATCTTTTCTCTCTCTTAAAGCTGATGAGTGCAATTCAGAAAGGAAGGGTGTCTGGAAGCCGCCTTGCCATCCTGATGAAAACTGCTGAGGAGAACTTGGACCGCAGAGTTCCGATTCCTGTGGATCGTAGCTGTGGAGGATTGTGAGTCTGACCAGTATATCCACAGCTGGCACTATGTTCCGACCAGAGATGACTTAAACCACTCTAAAATAGTGCCTATGATAGCTGCATTTTTTTTTAATAAACAAAAAAACAAAACAAAACGCAAAAAAGCCCTGGAAAACATTCCAAAACTTTTAAGAGGTTGGTGTATTTGCCAGCTTAATTTGCCAATCCTGTATTTGTATTTGTCATTCAGTCTAGCTTCTGAAAAGTGTTATTCTCATTTTTAGCGCACATCGATTTTAATGTTTTGTATCCATTCTGTAACCCACTCTGCCTTTCCATTCATGCATTTGAATCGGTTTCAGAGGCGGACTCTGAACAGATTGGAAAGAAGCTAGGGAGATTTTGTGAGCACCAGAGCTCTGGAGCTTGAGCTTATAGTTCGCATTTTATTTTATTTTTTTTTCCAGAAAAGCATCTGACCTATTGACACAAAAAAGAGAGGTCCGGAGACTTCTCAGCCCTTGCTACCTACCCCCTCCCTAATAATACTGCTCCCTTTTCTGTCTAGAGCAACTCTAGTTCATCCGGAGAGGGAAGACAAAAGTTTAGATCTGGTTGAGATTTGGTTACATTTCTAAAAGAGAAACTCTGAAAGCTTCCAGAATCGCAGGAGTAAGATAAAGACAGCACTGACATTTGCCGGGAGGTACAGTGATAGTTGCTTCTCAGCAGTTCATTTTTTTTCCCCCAGGCACTGCTGGCTTTCTTTGACTATTATAGTTGCCAGAAAAATCCTTGCTTTTTTTACTTTAAAACCAGCATTTGAGTGGCAAGTTGGATATAATGGGATGGGACCAAATCTTTCCATTCCCCATGGGAGGAATGATATAACACAATTTTCAATCCCACAAGTCCTGGATCTTGCGGTGTTGTCATGCCTGCCCTTGTTGGGGTGTGCAGCAGTAGTGCTATTTGCAAAAAGGTAACAATAAAAAGAAATTGGACAGACTTTTGTTAACCTTAATTATAACATTAGAATAAGGTAGGCCACTTTACTATCCGAAATCAGTTTGTTTGCCAAAAGCCTTTCTCTCTAAGTACCCAATGGGAAATTTTCATTCTACCAAAAATAAATCAAAGAAAGACACCAGACACATACATTGAACGTATATTAAAGTGTGCATTGAACTCAGCAAATAGTCCATAGAATAGAGATGCCAGTTGGGAGATGCTTTGTTATATTCTGTTGGCATTATAACTAGTAATCTTAATATTTATTACTTGTGCTCCATTTTCTGACGCTCCTAACGATCAGTTTCCTGTGCATAAGAGGAACTGTAGCCCATTGTTCACATTTCTATCCCGGCAGGCTTTGTTGCACAGATTTTGTTCTAGCTTTGTGGCCTGGTACATAAAAAACCTTTGTGCTACTATTTCTGTTAATGCAAACATTGTCTTTGTGCCTCATTCATTACGGGTTATGAGTCTGCATATTATCATCCAAACTGGGAGGTGGTCTTACCTCAGACCTCAGCCCCTCTCCGACCCCCCTACCCCTGAAATGTGCAGAAACTGCAGAGAGAGAGAACTCGATTCATTATTAAGTGAAGTTAAGTCGCTGCCACGTCTGTGTCCGGGAAACCGGACACAGAGCAAGTGATGGCACAGCAGGTGTCACTGTGAAGTTCTTCTTTCAAAGTGTGCATTTTTCACGCTGGTTTTTAGTTTTTATTATTATTGTTAAATAAATGGAAGTCTATGGCTTTGTGATTTAGTGCTTTTTCCATCATGACAATAAAATTCACTTTATACCTAGTGACAGTTAAGTTGGCAGAAAAGCTGTCCTTTAAAACATCCCATGACATATCACAATATTCTATATCTGTACTCCCCTCCTCTTTCTTTTTCTCTCTTTCTTTCTAGTTAGATCAAGATAACGGTGGCTTGTGTCTTCCCTGATTCTCTTACAGTAGGGACTGGGCTCAGAATGTGACATGTTCAGGCCGATCTGTGTTTGGAAAGCAGGTCTTGTTTGTACATGCTTTGCTATGAATGAAGTTCCTCTAAGGACAAAGAGAAGTGTGCTTTTCTTCATTTGAGCATCTCTGCTTTGGCTTAAACTCTGCTCATTCTAAAACATGCTCCTTCACCAATCCCAGAGACTCATTTTGGAAACGAGCTACTTTTATGACATTCCTGTGAGTAAGTAAAGCATCCCAGCATTTTTCTATCAGCTCCTAATTAAACATTACAGCTTAAAAAAAATTAAATCTGAATTAAGCAAAGGGAAACGGACATGGGAAGGAACCCTTTTAAAACTCATTCAGGGAATAAAACATTTTTTTTTCTTTCCACATAAGCCTGGCATTTGTTGATTCTGTAGGTTGTGGGAGTGGGTATGCAGGGATTGCCTTTTATCAAGTGATTTATTTCAAGAGCCTTTGAGGGGATTCAGGTGAAGGAACCCCATCTGTGCTGGAGAGCCGTGTACGCCTTTAACTAGCCTCCGCCCCAGTCGTAATAACAGTGATAAGGCTGGATTACTTGTTTAGCTAAGGTTGTCTGCCTCATATCCATCATGCTGCATATTCCTGCTTTCAGTCTGCTCGTTCTGAGCGTTACGTCAGATTCCTGCTATCAAGTGCATGCTTCGTATTCTGCCTTAGTTTATGGCTTGATTTTGTCTATTTCAAAATATGTACAACAAAAATGTTCATTCTGATTTTGACTCAATAAAACATAGCGGTTGTCACTGATTTTTTTTTTCTTTCCCACTTTTTTGTGCATTTGTAAAGGTCTTTTGCATATGAATGTAATCACACATTGATGTCACCGACGCTGTAAACTTGCACTGCATTTTACTCTAGGGATTTAAAAAGCCCTACTGTGTTTTAAAATAATATTGTCTTCACCCAGTACTGGAGTGGATACGCTCACTGCATGCTTTCATACTTTTTTGCAATTTTATGTATTGTGTTGGATTATTGTTCTAGACTGGATTGTTAAATGCTATGTTTGAGGCTGGGTTGTCATTTTTATAACTGTCTTGGTATTTTATCGCCATTATTTATTACTTTTGATATACAGAATGAGCTGCATGCATTTATAGAGCAATAAGAAGATGTATTTAATGTGCCTTGTTTTTAACTAAGAGCCGAAAGCATGAATCAATAAAACTGATTAAAATGGTCCGTTTGCTGACATTTTGATGTTACTCGTGGTCAGACAAATAACTTTAATTACTACTGAAGTTTTGAAAGTTTGAAAATATTTTCAGACACTGTATATTAAGTGACATACATTAATTCTGCTACATTAGAACTTTATAATTTTATTTGCAGTATCTATAGTATCAGTATTGACAGATGTATTTTTTATGACACTACTAGAATTACTTGTATTAATTTGTTGCTTCAGCTTTTAGGACATGGTTTCTGCTTTACGTGACCCTAGCTTACATTTATCCCATTACAACTCAATAGAATTCTTTTCCTTTCCTTTTTTTTTTTTTTTTTTTTGTCAACCAAAACCTCTCAGCCTCCACGTTCCCAGGCATGCTGATGAATTTTATCATAACTAAAATCAATAGAAATGAATGGGAAAGATTACATAATCCATTTTGATCATCTTACATGTCAAGTTAGTGCAGGGTTGCCAAGCGTTGATAAATGCTCTGACAGAAAAAAAAAATGCTATATATTTTCATTGTCAGTAAATCAGTAAAGCTGTTATCAGTTTAACTCTGGCCAAATTTTATAATGCCCATGTTATTTTATAGGTTTTAATTCGCACACGTACAGAGAGCACTTTCTCCATTTGCGGCTCACACATGCTGGCTTCAGGTTGAGCGTGTTCATAGGCATTTGTGAGTTTCTCATAGTCCTTCGAAACTGTATCCCAAGTGAAGAGTCCCTCCCGGACAGATTTGGAACAATAGTCATTTGTTCTGTGTCCAGGGGGAAAAAAAAATACATAGCAGTTCAAAACCTTTACCATTGATCCAGCTTATGAAATTTGATAGCACTTAAATAAATTTTGTCAAAGTATTGCTCCTATGTTTCAAAATATGTAAAATTGATGCTCATTTTAAAAAAAAAAAGGAAGCATGGCCTCAGTATTTTGCAATTTTTGTCAAAGGCACATTGTCACTGGTGTCAGATCGCATCTGATGACATTTGACTTATGATGGAAAGAAGCAACAGGAGTTTTAAACTGATCTGGCACCCACGTAATGAGACCAGTTCTGTATAAGCAGCAGGAATGATGAGCCTTTTATGCCCGTACTTTGTATTTTAGGTCTCTAATTAGCTACCTAACTTGTGAAATGCAGGCACAGAACATGATGTATGTAAGCCTCGGTGACGCCACAAGACAGCCCCGCAGGCCCTGTGCTGGGAGGTATGGCGCAAAAGCGGGCGCTGTCCTTTAATCTCTTAAATATACCTGCTCAGGAACCGACGTGAGCAAAGCAAAAATACTGCCTTAGAAGCAGCAGCGTGACCTCCCTGTTGTCCGCAGTTGGCATCGAATCATTTGCTTCCGTACATTGCCACCGGAAGTACTGACGTAGTAGTTCCTGGAACCTAGGGGCTTGTGTGATGCCTCCTTTAGGAAGGCTGTGTGTTGTATCTCGCCGGAAGTGTAGGAGGGCCGAAATGCAGAGCGTGCGTTAGTGCCTTGGATATTAGAGTGTGGCACCACGGTACAGCTTGTTTGTTCTACAAGCTTCTGAGTCTGGCGGAGCCACAGTCATGTGTCCCCACCATCATTTTCCAAGTGAATGGGTCCTGTAGGCCAATCGGTAGCTGATGCTAGCTTTCTTTCACTGTATCAGAGTAGGGGAGTGGGAAATCTCTCTCTCTCTCTCTCTCTCTCTCTCTCTCTCTCTCTCTCTCTCTCTCTCACACACACACACACACACACACACACATACCCCTCCCTGCCTTAAGCCCTCATACTTAGTGTTCTTTGTTGGCTTTCATCTCCTCCTGCACAACTGGATCTAAATTTTTATTAACCTTTTCTTTAACTACAATTCAGACTTACTTGATTTTGTTTGTCTAAATAATCTAAACGTAATAAGCCCAATTAACATAATTGTTTTTTCACCTGACCTCGGCGCCCTCTTTTAATGGAGGGCTGCTACTGTCTGTACTACCGCTTCCTCCTCCAAGGGGTTAGAGTAAAGAGCCACTCCCAGTTACATGTTGCTTACTAGGTTTTCTTCAGCATTGCTTCACTATCCATTTTTTTCTTCCATCCCCATCATTAATTGATTTACAATTCATTTTTATGCATACGGAGTTTTTCCTATCCAAGTTAAGAAGCTGTAAATCTTAGATCCATTGAAATGACAGTGAGAAATATTTCATTTTATCCCATGAATCATTTGCCATCCTTATTGCAGAAAAATGGCAAAATTATGGTGTACCATGTTTTCATAAATTACTCTTCCCCCACCCCCACCCCACTGCTCTGGTTCATTTCATTATCTGTGTGGAGAGACCGTGAGAGTCAGACTGTAGACACTTGGGGTAAACAATTCTGATTTTACAGCAGGCTAATCAAAATTTCATAACATTACAAATTAATTCCTCTGGTACCGTGAAGAATTTAATTCATGTACAAAATATATCATCTATTTTATAAGTAAAAAAAAATAGCTTGATACTAAAATATGCCCTGCGATTGCTTGTAACAAAAAGGGGGATGGGTATTGAGTTCTTTAAATAATGTATATAATTTTCATTGGTTTCATCTGTCAAAGTAGTCATTTATGTCCTGAAAGGTGGGTGTTTGGCACTATGTGTTTGAACACTATTAAAAAATCATAGCTAGCTTCCTCCAAAAGGGCCAAATCATAGGTTTGTATTTCACATATGACCTCGAGTGAAATAACTTCTCAGGAGCCCCCCACCCCCCGCTTACCTTCATCTGAGAAAGAAGTATAAAAAAAACAACCTGAAATTCCTAATAATTTTTAAAAGCAGTAAATGAAATCTGCTACCTTATTAGAATGTTACTGAGTGGATAGATTGACCTCTTCCTCTTAATCTCCATGTTACTGTCAGGGTTATTTGTAGATTCTGCAAAAGTCAACTCTATCCTGGTAAAGATATTTGTCCTAGTGAGTTGCTGCCCTGTATCAAAAC